GCAGATGTCAAGCTGTCAAGGCGATGTCACTGAGTGTGGAGCTGGGAAGAAAGGTGAACAGTCAGAGTCAGCCACTGAGAGCTGACCGCAGATCACCACCGAATCCAAAGTTTATGGACGTTACTCACGCCAGCCCTCTCTTCGGATCCGTTTCCGCCTTTGTCCCTGTCATTAGTTTCTTGGCTCATACTTTGCACAAAACTCTGTCAGTCTTTTAGATCCAAAAAGAGAAATAGCACATTAAAGGGGGAAGTTTACCTTCAGGTAGGGCACGGCTAATAGAGGAAAGGGGGAACTAGAAAAAAGAAGGCACAGACCTCAGAATGCCCAGCATTCTAGGGTGATTCTAGTGCAGGAGCAAACATTTCAGCATGATGCAGTCGTGGCCGCTCAGAGCAAAATTCTAAATCATTAATTAAAAGAGGAGGTTCCCCAGCCTTCAAAAAAATAAAAATAAAAAATGAAGAAATAAATAGAAGAGGAGATCGTGTGTACTGTTCTCTTTTAGAAGGGATCCATCAATTCTGCTTTAGACAATGTGTGCTTACACTGTGGTTGTCCAGAGCTCGCAGATATCTGAATCAGAATGTTCATCATGGTGTTGTTTATAACATCAAATCATTGAAACAACTTACACATGCAATGGTCAGGGACTGGGTAAATAAATTATGGCATACTTAATCATGGAATTTAGAAGGGATCCATCAATTCTGCTTTAGACAATGTGTGCTTACACTGTGGTTGTCCAGAGGTCGCAGATATCTGAATCAGAATGTTCATCATGGTGTTGTTTATAACATCAAATCATGGAAACAACTTACACATGCAATGGTCAGGGACTGGGTAAATAAATTATGGCATACTTAATCATGGAGTGTTACAAAGCAATGATAAATAATGATATAGGATATGGATTCTCAAACTTAACTGAGCAGGTGAGCTTGTTAAATGCAGGCTCCAGGGCTCTAAACCCACGAATTTGATTTAGTGGAGCTGGGGTGGGACCCAAAAATCTGCATTTCAAAGCCCCTCCTTTCTGTGATTCTGATGCAGTGGACTTCAGACCACTGTTTGAAAAACACCGGTATAAAATGCTATTTAATGACATGAAGAGAATTTGTGATATCTTGTAAAGTTTTCAAAATGAGTTATAAAACATTATGTACATCACGATCAGATTGTAATTTAAAAAAAAAACACAAAACTATATACACAGAGAAAAATCTAGGTTTATAACAAAATCATAACAATGGTTACTTCTGAGTGGTGAGATCAGAATCACTAAACCACATTTTCTGATTTTAAACAATAAACGATAATTAATAAAAATATCAAAAGTTATATTTTTTAAAAAAGAAAGCAAAGGAGCATAAAATCCATTTGGGAAATTGTTCCATTAAAATATTTTAAAAGACAACTGAAAATCAGATGTGACGCTTAAAGAACTTCAGTGATCCGGGAAGGCACGCTTTCAGGCGCAATGGATTCCCTGAGCACGTGAGACAGACTAGACCTGGTACGGCCATTCCTCTGGCTGTGTTCTCCACATCTTCAGACTCTGACTTGTGTAGGGCCATTGCACTTGCAGAATTCCCTGAAAACCTTGAGGTGTGGTCACCCCAGGACCCCCAGCCACACCAGATTCTCTGACCTGTTGGGTGAGGGTCACTGGTGGCCACCCTGATTCTGAGGCTCTTACACAGAAGGAGCCATCAGGGAACAAGGAGAGGCCTCTGCCACCCTGTGGGCTTTGTGCCCAGAGCTCCCCCCAGGCTCACACAGAACTGCACTCAGCTGCGCTACACCGGCAGAGTAAGCTCCACCAGTCACCTCCCCTCCTCTCTTGGGTAAAGACCTGCCTCCAAATGTGCCGGCAAATCTGTTAAGACCCAACATCACCAAGTTTGGGGAAGGGAGGAGCAGAGGCAGAGCGGGGATGTCCAGCCTTAAACCTCCCAGGACAGCAAGGATCATCCCAGAGTCAGAGACTGGCAGTTCTAAGAGACCCATGAGATCACCAAGTCCATGTCCCTGCTTCAAGGAAGTGGCTGACCTCTGTGTTAGGCTTGTCACATGAGCTCTCTCCCTTCATCCTCAGAGGACATGATAATCCTCATCCTACAGAGGAGAAAACTGGGGCTCAAAGAGGGAAGCTCCTGGTCTTACGCACACAGCCCAGAAGTGGTAGAGACAGGACTTGAACCCAGCTCTCCCTGACGTCAAAGCACAAATTCTCTCCATACGCTGCCAGCCCCCAAGGGCATAGTCTAGGAACACAGTGAGGGCAGATCCTCCCAACCCCACAGCCTGATTGCCTCCCCTTGGTGGCTCCTAACCAGGGGAGGCCACCCAGGTACGTACGGTCCAGACTGCACCAGGACGGAGCCTGCCTTCTCTACTCCAGTCTCCTTCAGGTTGGGGCAGGGCCCGCTGAGCTCGTGCGAGTGACCCTGGAAGTTCTCCTGCTCAAAGATAATGATCTGCAACAGGAAGAGAGAGTCAGTCCCCGTCATAATGGGAAAAAGTGAGAGCAGAGCCGTAGGGATGGGGAGGGAGCTCTGAGAGCCTGGAAGGTGCTGAAGAGTCCCCCTTTGGAGTCATGAGCCAAACATAAAGTCAGACAGTTCTGGCTCTACCAGTGACCAGCTGTGAGACTCTGGGCCTGCATGTCTCTTCTCTGACTCTCAGTCTTTGCATCTATAAAACGGGAAATAAAGACAGAACCTATCTCATGGGTTGTTAGAATTCAGAGGATCATAGTGGTTAATGTGTACATTTTGTTCTGCTTGTGGGAGACATAATTATATTAATTAGACATGCTACAGGTTCCAGGTGGGTAAGTGACAGAGCTGAAATGGAAGCCCAGGCTTGTCTGATGCAGCTCAAAAAGAAGCAGCCCTTTGCAAACTGTAACACACACACAAAGTACCTGGGATCTTGATAAAGTACAGTTTCTGAGGTAGCAGGTCTGGGGTGCAGTCCCAGATTCTGCGTTTCCAATCAGCTCCCAGGTGACGCTGGTGCCACTGGCCCAAGGACCACATTAGGTATAGCAAGGTGCTAGACCATGCTGTTTGAGTTTGTCCTCCTCCCATTAGAGCTGGACTAGTACTGCCATATACACCCCTCACCCCCATTGCACCCATAAAACTACACATACTGTATCTTTTCTTTAAGCCCCCATCGGCTTTGCAGGTCTCCCTGTGATCTCCCCCTTGAGAGACTTCTTAAGGGGACTTCACTCCCCTTGCCTCACCTGGTCCTCTCAACAGCCCAGGGAAAGGGCTCGCAGGATCCCCATCAGGGAAACCGAAGCTCTGCAAAGTGAAGGGACCCACACTAGGTCTCACAGCCCAGTGCTAACCAGGAGGGCAGCTGCCACCTTTCAGGATTCCAGTGAGAATTTGGGGGCAGAGGTTTTTCAGCCACACTTCCCCAGGGAGCTGCTTCTGGATAAAGAGTTGGGCTTGGAGCAGTAGACTCTGAGGAGGGCCGGCTGCAGAATCCACACAGTCAGCACTAGCTGGGCAAACACGCCGTGCTCTCCCAGGCTGGGGATTAGCCCAACAAAGGAAGGGAAGGGAGTGGCCAACAGGGCTCAGAGATAAATTCCATGGCTCAATTCAGCCTTTACGGTCACTGACCTGGCCAGAGATGGGGTCAGGAGACGTGGGCTCTGATGTCCCCTCTGTTGCTATGCAACCTTACGAAGCACCCTGACTACTCTGAGCCTCAGTTCTCTCATCTGTAAAATGGGGGACCATGCCTATCTTGTAGGGTTACCAAGAAGAGTCAAGAATATGGAAGTTGGGGGCTACTTTGTTACCCTGGCTTGGTAGAGAAGGGCTTGTGTGTGGGGGCCGGGCTTACCTGGTGAGGAAGGTCAACCTCTCCACGCATTTGAAAGGCCTCAGAGAGCCCAGAAGCTCTGTATTATTATTGTTGTTGTTGTTGTTGTTATTAATCAATATAATGGGGGCTAAGATTTTACATGTTATCTAATTCTTTAAACCCGCACTGTCCAATACAGCAGCCATTAGCTATGTGTGGCTACTGAGCATGTGCAATTAGTCCAGATTAAGATGTGCTGTAGGTATAAAATACGTGTCATATTTTGAAGACATACTATGAAAAAAAGAATAATATTTTGCTAATAATTCTTATATTCACTATACATTAAGATGGTCAGGTTTTACATATATTGGGTTTAATAAAATACAGTATGAAAATTAATGTCACCTGTTTCTTTTTACTTTTTTAAATGCAGTCACTAGAACATTTTAAATTACATATGTGGCTCACATTATACATCTGTTGGACAGTGCTGCTTTAAACCTAGCCTTCTTGGGTTGGCTGGTTGGCTCACTTGGTTAGATCATGATGCTGATAACACCAAGGTCACAGGCTCAGATCCCCATCCCAGCCCACCACCAGAAAAAAATAAAAATAAATAAAAAATAAAATAAGCCTGGCCTTCTTGCTGTTCTTTAAACTCACCCAGCTCATTCCCACCCCAGGACCTTTGCACTTACCATTCCCTTTGCCTGGAAGCTCTCACCAAGCCCCACCTCCGATGTGCTCATGGCTACTCCCCTGCTTGACCCAGGTCTCCACTCAAACATCACCTCCTCAGAGGGGTCCTCCCTTACCACCTGAGCCAATCCTCGCCCACCCTGACTCTTGGGAACCCCTTACTCTGCTTAATGCTTCTTGACAGCACTTCTCACTACTTGAGATCATATATTCATTTGTTTTCATTTGTTTATTGCCTGTCTTTCCTCTAGAAAGTAAATCCATGAGGGACAGAATGGGGTGAGCGGGTGAGGGGCTGCGTCAGCTCAGGCTTCCCTGGTCAGGCAGGTCACTCAGACTAAAGAGCAGTTCTGGATGGAAACCATGCTCAAGGCTTCTGAAGCAAAGGGATGCAGGAGGGTGGTTGTCAATAGAGGTTTGGGGGCACATTGGGTGTGACAAGTTCCTGACCCTTAGGAGGGCAGGGAGGATGAGAAAGCAAAGCAGACATTGTGAGCTGGCCTTAGGTGGACATGCACCAGATGTCAGGCTGACCTGGTGTCTTTGCCTCTTCACAACCATCTTATGCAGTAAATCTGACTCTCCCATTTTACAGAGAAGGAAACTGAGGTTCAGAGAGATCAAGTGACTGGCCCGGGTCACACGGCAGGTATGGAGCTGGGAATCACACCCCACCTCCTGTTCACAAGTGCATCTCCACCTGGGACTGAGGACCTGCCCCAGCCTTGGGGTGTCCAATGGGTGATGGGGTGTGGGGCAGCAGGTAGGTCAGAGAAACTTAAGTCTCCAAGGCTGGCAGCTGGTGCTGGGAATCTAGGCATGCCACTGCGTGTGTGGATGGGGGAGACTGAGGCCCAGACAGGGGAAGGGGAAGGGGTGGAGAGGGGGAGCCCGGAAGGAAGATGCCAAGAGTCTGCTTGCCCATCTCCCCTCCAGAGGTACCCACCTTGGGGTTGAGAGGCTGCGGCTTGCCTGCCTGGGTCTGGTGGTCTGAGGCCATGGTGGACTGTTCGGTGCAGGAAGGACCTGAAAGACATGGGAGGCAGCAGTGAGGACCTCGCTGGGCCCTGAGCTTTCTGACCCGAGTAGGCCTCAGGACCACTCCAGCCCCAAACCCTCTTCTTTTCCCCAGGGTTTCAGGTTGTCCTAGAGCTGTGGGTTCAGTACGCAGCTGCCTGAACTTCCATCCTTAGTGTCACTCTGGGGGGGAAAGAAAATGAGGTCTATTAAAAAAGATGATAAACTAGAGCTTTAAGTGGGGTCCCAAGTAGGTCCCTGTCACTCAGCTCCCAACAATTGACACTACATGGAATGCAGACCTGTTAATACCAGAACTTCTGCCTTGGTGCAGGAACTTCTTCATGAAAAGAAAACCGTGTGGGACCAACAAAACCCATGCACTGGCCCTGTGTGGCTGTGCTGTGGCTACCAGTTTGGGAACTCAAAAAGTCTCCTGTCCCCCCCTGCCCCTTGCCCAAAACTTCCTCCCAGAGACTCCTCTTCCCCTCCGTACAGGCAACTCTCCTCTTGACTTGGTCTGCTCCCCCATTAGCAATCACAGTTGTCACAGAGCCCATGCCACAAGAAAGAGAAGAAACGGATGTAATGGCGGGAGCCAGGCACTGATGCAGGCAGCAGGGGAGAGCTGTCTTGGCTGGTGAGAATATCAGAAAAGTCTGCAATAGTGTCGATGTCAGCCTCTTCTCCCTTCCTGAGGGAGAAGCAGTCAACCCAGACTGTGTTTCCCCAGGGGTGAGAGAAGAAACCCGGCCTCCATCTTCAGAGATAACATCCAGCTTCCAGAAGCCAGGACTGGACATCCCCCAAGAAGGAAAAACTTCAGTTACACAGCTTGGGAGCCAAGCTCCCAAGATCCTCTTCTGCTCTCCCCCAAGAAACCAGCCCTCTGGGCCTGTCACAGCGCCTGAGGTCCCACCATTACACTCCCGGTCATTGGTGACCTCAGACTGAAAAACATGAAGCTCGACCGGTCCAGCTTGGGTGCTGGCTCTGCTGCCTACCAACACTGAGGCCAGGCCCTGGGCAGGTGACATCCTCACCCCGTGCCTCAGTTTCCTGTTCTGTAAAATGGGGACAGTAATGGTGCCTAATAACATCTGTGAACAGATCGTGAGGATTCAATTATAAAACACATAAAACTACAAGCACTGGGCAGCGCCCCCGGAACACCCTCAGCACCCAGTGAATGGCAGCAATTGTGGCATGAGTCCTTTCCACCAAGTTTCAGTGGCTTTGAAATCACCTATTCCTGGGAGCTTCCAGAGAGCCGCAGCTGCACCCTACTCACTAGTGCTCCCCAAGGCTGGGCACATAGTGGGTGCCCGGTAACGTCTGGGGATATGGAGAGAGCTGACTCACTAACCTAGAAATGATGCTGAACTGCCCTGGGTTTGATTCTTGCAAACCCTCTGCTACATTCCCGCTCTAGAGCTGGCCAAATGAGGATGCCGATGATCTGTTTAACATTAATAAAGAGCATGCCTCAGAATCCGCTAGGTGCCCGGCACTGTGCTGGGCCATTCGCCTACATTATCTCTAATCCCCACAACATAGGAGGTTTTATGACCCCTCTCCCCATTTAATAGAAAAGAAAACTGAGACTGAGAGCATTGAAGTCTCTGCCCAAGGTCACCTTGTCAGAAAGTGGCGGTACCTCTCCAAACCCAGGTCTCCCCCGCTTTCTAACAGGGATGAGCATGAGAGTAAAAAGGTAAAGCAAGCAAGAGAGGCATTCTTACCAGCGACACCAGCCCCCGTGAGTGCCCGGTGAAGCCTGGCCTGTGGGAGGTGGCATTTATACCTTCCCCAGGAGCGCCTGTGCCAAGACGGGTGACCGCTGCGTCCCCGTGGAAAGCAGAGCGAGAATGCTGGATTAAGCCCGCACCAAAGCCCCGGTCAGCAAATGCCCACAGACATTGTGTCTCTGCACAATAATGTCATTAGCTTTCAGATTCGGCCGCGCCAGGGTGGTCAGGCGGCTGCACAAGGAGATGCCTGCTTTGCAAGCATCAGCCATCCAGCTGCCAGGACCGGGGGCACACCAGGTTCACCCGGGCGGTCAGGCAGTCCCCGGGGCATGGCAGACAGAGGCGATCGCAGTGGCCGTGGGGAAAAACAAGTAAAGGACGGTGGTTCGGGGGAACTCAGCCATCAGTCATCCATCCATTCGTTCATTCAACAAATATTTGTCAGGCCTCCACTTGGTCCCAAGCTCTTTTCTAGCGGAGAGTGTCAGGAAGGGGACCTACATACACCAGCCTGAGCCGTCCAGGAAACCCACCCAGGGCAAAGCAGAGCCCTCAGGGATGGGAGAAGTTAGCCTGGGAAATAGGATTGGGAAGAGAATTCCAAGCAAAAAGGGCCCAGTTTGCAAGCAGCTGGCAGAGGGTATTTCAAGAAGACCTGAAAACAGGGTTATACAGCTAAAGTGTGGCATGCGATGGGCAGGGTCTGTGCCAAGTGGCCAAGGGCAGGTGCCTGCTCGTGCAGGGCCAAGGAGAGTGAGCTGCCCCCTTGGGGCCCCCGGCTGTCCCTGATCTGCTGTCCTGAAATGGGGTGCTCCTGGGATCCTAGGCCCCCGAGGTTTGGAGAAACCTGTCAGATCCCTGCTGTCGGCCCCATTGCTGCCCTGTGGGCACCCAGCCTTCGCTCATGCCCCTCTAGTGCACACGTCTTCCTCCCAGCCCAGGTCTCGACTGAATCCGAGTCTTGGAAACTGGTCCCTCCCATCCCCCCAGCCCACACACCACATGTACCACACCCCACACATTACACACTACACACGCATGCACACACACACACACTATACACACACATTACACACTGCACATGCACACACTACACACACACATTACACACTGCACATGTACACACACTACATACGCATGCACTCTCACTACACACTACAGGCACACATGGCCCAGCTCCCTTGCCGTGCTGTTTCTCTCTGTAGCACTTGTCACCACCTGACATCCTATTACTCATTTACTTTCTGTCTTTCCAATTAGAAGATAAACACTCTGAGGGTCGAGATGCTGTTTGCTTGCGGTACCATGGTATACTCAGAGCCCAGTGCCTGGCACTTAGTAGGTGCTTATATTAGATTCCTAGGGCTGCTGTAACAAAGTGCCACAAACTGGGTGGCTTAAAAACAACAAAAATTTGGAATATAAAATGATGCAGTCTCCATGGAAAACAGTCTGATTTTTCCTCAAATAGGATCCAGCAATTCCATTTCTGGCAGGGACCCAAATAGATATTTGTACACCAACGTGCATAGCAGCACTATTCGTGACAGCCAAAAGGTGGAAGCAACCCAAGCATCCATCAACAGATGAATGGATGAACAAAATGTAGTGTATACATACAATGGAATATTGTTCAGCCTTAAGCAGGAAAGAAATTCTGACATGTGCTACAACATGGATGAACCTTGAAGACATTATGCTAAGAGAGATAAACCAGACAGAAGAAGAAAAATGGTATGATTCCTTTTATATGCGTTAACTAGAGTAGAAAAATTCATAGAGACATAACATTGGACGGCCGTTGCCAGGAGCTGGAGGGAGGGAAGACGGGGCGTTACTATTTATGGGCAGAGTTTCAGCTTGGGCTGATGGAAAAGTTCTGGGGATGATTAGTGGTGACGGTCGCACAGCAATGTCACTGTATGCTTAAAAATGGTTAAGATAACGAATTGTAACTATGTTATGTATATTTTATGACAAAAAAGTGTTGACTGTTCCCAGAACCCCCCACTCCAACACCTGAAATGTAGCATCTCATGGTTTTTAAGAGAAGTCCAGCATCAAGGTGTCAGCAGGGCATGTTCTGTCCAATGGCTCGAGGGAAGGACACTTCCCCGCCTCTTCTAGCCTCTGGGATTTGCTGGCAGTCCTTGGCATTCCTTGGCTGACCGATGCATCACGGAGTCACCTAGCTGTCTTCTCCCCATGTCTTCACACTTCTTCCCTCTGTGCATGTCTGTCCGTGTGTCCAAATTTCCCTTTTTACATGTACACCAGTCATATTGGATTAGGACCTACCCCAGAGATTTCATTTTAACTTGATCGCCTCTCTCAAGACCCTATTTCCAAATAAGGCCACATTCTGATATACTGGGGGTTTGGACATCAGCATGCCCTTTTTGGACACAATTCACCCCATAAAAGACCTCAATTAATATTGGTTGAATAAATGGATAGATTCAAGACCTGGTTGTGTCCTATTAAATAAGAAAGATTTCCTAAAATTTAGATAGTGTGAGAGCTTATCATCAGTCAAGCACCATCCATACTTGTCTCTTTTAATCTTCCCAACAAATCCAAGAGGTAATTGCTGCAGTTATCGATCATCTCATTTTATAGAAGAGACAGTTGAGGCTCAGAGAGATTAAGCAACTTGCCCAAGGTTGCACAGCCTGTGAGTAGTAGAGCTGGACTTTGTGAATTGACCCACTACTAAGCTCCCTGGAGGCCTGCTCTCTCGTTAAATTCTGTCCTCATAACCATCTTTGAGGTAAGTGTTATTAGTATTTCCTATTACAGGTAAGGAAGCTGAGGATCAGAGGAGTTAAGTAACTTGTCCAAGATCACACAGCCAGGAAGTGATGGGACCAGGACTTGAACTCAGATCAGTCTGACTTCAAGGAAAATGCTCTTAATCTTTGAACTATGATGCTTCCCACTAAGCTCTGATTGTAGGAAAGTTCTCTCCTTCTTCAAGCCTCAGTTTCCCCATTAGGAATGAGGTTCTTGGTCCCTGAACCTTACATAATTCTTGTCTAGGAAGTAATCAAGGTTCTCATTGGCTAATAGAAATGGGAGGTTTGATTACCCCTGTTTTCATAGATAAGGAAACTGAGACTTGGAGAGGGGACATCCTCACCCTAGGTCACATGGCCAGGAAGTGGTGAAGACGGGATTTGAACTCAGAACTCAGGATTCATGGAGTCCAAAGTCTTCACCCTACACTACTTCCCTCCTCTTTGGTTTCCTCAC